AAGCTGTCCGATCTGTATCTTGTTTCATAAAGTAACCATTGTATTGATGAGAGAGCAGGGGATTGATAATGATTGGAGAAACAGTAGTTTTATGATCTTAAGAATTAGACGTAGAAAATAAGTATTAGTGAAAACACACGATCAATATATTTTTTCGTGAAATAAAGCAAGTCTCTTGTAAATTAAACAAAGAATGCATGGGAAGTGTTTTTTGAAACCAAAACATTGCTGGTCTAATGTTTAAATGTTAATACAAGCTTAAGTCTTTCTTTCGTTGTTTCACTGAATTATGGACAAATGCTCGTTCTGTAAGTAACATAAAAGTTCAACTTAACACCAACATCTTGTAATCCTAGATGTAACCATGTGATGAATCATTCACAATCCCCTCAGAATCTATATAAACAGGAGCTGAATTTTGTTTAAATAATGTATTTGTGGTTGCATATCAATGTTTGAGTCATTTCAGTCTGCAAAATCGCTCTATAGAAGAAACAATAAATCTACTAACCATAACCAAAGTAGAACAATACATCTACTAACAGACTGTAATCATAACCAAAGTAGAACAACACATGTACCAACAGACTGTGATCAGAACCAAAGTTGAACAAGACATCTACTAACAGACTGTAATCATTACCAAAGTAGAAAACGTATATTCATTTTTCTTAAACAAATAGATATTAATTGATCACTTTTGAGGAAAAATTAATGTTGAACATTTGATATCATCAAAGGAAAAATACATTATTCAGTCTAACTACAAATAACCACCGAATTCGTCTGCCCTACTATTAGAGGCTCCTGAATTATGTAACTCAGTCACTCAGATTGGATTGTGAATCTATTTTAAGTCGAAGTTCTCTAATGTCTTGAGGTCCGCTCAAACTACAAACAGCACAGTTTAGGAACAGCCTAAACATTTTTCTTTTGGGCGCTGCTGCTGGCTTGATCTGGAGCGGATATTATCTGCTTTTGTTAAAGAATTCCTATGCAAGAGTATTACGTAGTCATTTGAAAGTTTCAATTGCAGTTTATGTTTGCCGGTTTTTAACGACATTGTAGGCTTAATAGTTATTTTTAGAACACTGTATATATTTATATAATTTTTTTGCTGTATGTATATATTGAAAAGGTTTTTCGATACAACCAAAACATCCAAAAAGCTCTAGATTCATAACCATTTATAAGAGTGAAATGATTGTTTCCTACCTGAAACATTGAAGCTTTTAAATTTTTGTAACTGTTTTCAACAGCAATATGTATGCGTGATACAACCTTTGTTTGCACGTGTATTCGCGTACAAGATACACTCCATTTTATATGGCCCGGCATGGCCAGGTGGTTAGGGCGCTCGACTCGCAATCTGAGGGTCGCGGGTTCAAATCCCCATCACACCAAACATGCTCGCCCTTTCAGCCGTGAGGGTATTATAATGTGACGGTAAATCCCACTATTCGTTGATAAAAGAGTAGCCCAAGAGTTGGCGGTCGGTGGTGATGACTAGCTGCCTTCCCTCTAGTCTTACACTGCTAAATTAGGGACGGCTAGCGCAGATAGCCCTCGTGTAGCTTTGCGCAAAATTCAAAACAAACAAACAAACCATTTTATATACAATACCCTCAGTCTACTGAGTGATAGCGCTGGTGTATTTAAAATGGCCTCGTTCTACTTACTTTAGGAGAATGCATTAAACAATAAAGTTAATATAGATATGTGCAGCAGCAAGATACCGCGCTCATATGATGAAATAGCAAATTCACCAACTCAGTTGTCAGGCCTGCGACTACTTGCGCTGATTTTTCAGTACGTTATATATATATATATATATATTCAAGTTTTACACAGAACGAATTACGGTGCTTTTTACTTCCAGGTACGTGGCGCACCAGAAAATTTGTGGCAACAATTTACTACTAAAATGGAACACTTTCTTCTATTTTTACTTTTCCGTCGAGCTAGCAATGTGCATTTCAAAACTATTCTTAGCGTAAAAGTTAAATTGGATAATTCAACTGTTTGTTTTCATTCAAACTTATAAATGGTTTTTATAACAAAATTTCTAGCTTTACGAATACGGTATTCTTTGTTTGGCGTAATCTGTTACAAAACCGGTAAGGTCAAACTTTCACTGATAATCTATGTTAGTTCAATCATGCATGCAGCTGTTTTGTGTTCAACTGATGCGGAGAAACACGCGAGCCTGATTGGAAACGTAACTCTAAAGACTCGTGAGAAACAAATAAACAGTTTGAGGCACAGATAGTTGTTAGCCCAATTGAAAATATTTACGCCATATGATTTAGAAAATGATCATATTTCTTATTCAAATAAAACGTTGTTGTACTAGTTTGTACGTTATTGAGCCGTTGAAATAAACAGGATATTTTACAGAATTGTTTTATTATTGTCATTTATTGTTGTTATATTTTCTGACAGAATATTCGAAATAGTTTAGGGTGAGCTGTGGCCAGGCGAACAAATTATCAATATAAATCTTTATTCGTTGCTAAAGGAACCAATGTGTAGATGTATGCATTTGTATTATTCAGTTTCGTGTATTATAAACTTGCAAGTATAACATAGAATATACATTTATATGGATCATGCATGTTTGCTATTAGTGGACATAAAATTTACAAGAAGTGAACGGCTTTAAGAACAGGCCTATATAAGTTCAAGTGAAATTTGTAACAGGAACTTTTCTATCTGATACACAGCTTCATATCAAGTAAAGATAATAGAACGATCTTTCTTCAACCAGTATTTATTCATAAGTTGATATTAGAAAGAAGGGACAGTTAAGACTTAGAATGAAATGTAAATATCGTTAGTATGAAATACACACACACACATATATATTAATTGATTTTAGTCTACCGCGGTTTAGCATCAGACAACCTCAGAGTGAGAGTGCACTCAGTAACAGTTACTGTTGCTATAGGAAACGATTAATAACTGTACGATTTCACAGCGTCGTCAACAAGAAAAGTTTGCTGTAAGAACAATACATTTTCGAATCGGCACTAGTTACCATGGAGACTGTTGTTAGCTATCTACATTACACCAATTCACTGAAGTTTTCTGACTGTTAGAATATGTAATTAATCTTTACAATTCCAGTATTATATATATATATATCACTCATCTGGAGGCTAAGTTGAGAATTAATTAAAAATAAATACTTGAGTGTGTATCGCTTGAGGACATGACGTAGGGTCCCAAACTGAAAATTGTGGTAAAATGTTAAACTATTAATTGAAATTTACCTTGAAACGGCAGTTACATTTTTTAAAATAAAGTAGCTAAGGGGAAATGCCATGTGTTTGATTTAAGTATCTCGAAACATGCTACTAAGAGGAACAGTCGGACTTAAATATACTGAGTAGGACAGGCATAATAGATTAATCTATACTGAAGGCCCTGAGGCCAGAGGAATGTACTCTTTATCAATTCTTATTACCTTCTGTGTCATGTTATTTTTTAAACTATTTTTTATATAAATGTACTAAGAGAATGTAACCTATGGGTTTTTTTATACTTATATGATATAGTAGAATTGTTACAAATATTTTAGCAATCCGAAACCAATACATTATCTTAATGTTGATTGTAGGTCTGTAACACGTTTAAGTGCTTAGACCTCGATAGCACTTCTGTTGTTAACTGTCGTCCGACGAAAACTTAATTTAATATCGGCTCGATCATTAGCAGGTTTATAAACTTAAAATGTAAATTTTATCGACAATATTGCGACTGATAATTTAAAAAATCTTGGAAATAGTATTCCTTAACAACAATTGTTCTGCATAATAATTTTGGAATATTTGTACCATTCATTATTGGAATCTATTAATTGTAGACAGTTGAACTGTCGATCCCAGATATACACAATTATGGTTTGTTTGTTTGAATTTAAGCACAAAGCTACACAATTGGCTATCTGTGCTCTGCCCACCACGGGTATCGAAACCCGGTCTCTAGCGTTGTCAGTTCGCAGACATACCGCTGTGCCACTGGGGGGGGGGGCATAATTATAGACTTTATAACACCTTCTGTAATTTTCGATAAAAGTAAGAAAGAATAAATAATTATGTCGGTTAAACTTTCAAATCTGTTTGGTAAAAAATAACAATAGAAAAGTCCGTATTTGTTAGCTTTTATATTGATCAAATTGAATAATTAAAATGATTAAAAAATTAATATTTGAAATGTCAGTGTTAACCAATTGGAAATGTGTGGTTAACGGCATTAAGATATAAAAAAATAAAAAGTATTAATATACATGATTAATTCAGTAGATTACCGACAGTCATTTTCGCCGTCACCACGTGTCAAACACTGACTGACACTCAAACTCAGTGTTAAGATAGAAGCAAAAAAAAGAACTATTTACACCTGGTTTTATATCCCAATATATATATAAATTTCAGTTGTAGATACTGTAAAAAAAAAAAAAAAAAGAATAGTTGATGCTGATTAACCATACTATATTTTCAAGTGAGCAGCCATTCGTCAACAAGATCATGCTGTTGCCTTGGGGACTCCATTCATTTGGTGCAAGAAATAAGAATGAATGCATCCCTCCCCCCTGTTCCTCGGGGAAACTTTGGACGTTGTTACCCACAGACTCAGCTGACCCACAAAAGTAGTTAACACTGACAATATAATAGCGTTTGTAATACAAACATATTCTTTATCGTGCCCGTTCCTGCTTCATAGTAATTCTCGAGGACAGTTTATGTAGCTAGTTCGGATTGTTCTTATGACTTGACGATTCATTAGTGTATTCTGTAGGTCGATAGATGGCACTCATGTCTGTAGTTGTGACAGCGCAGAAAGTAGGCCACGCCCACTGTCAGTATAAAATTTCGGTAGTTGAAATAGAAAGTATAGTTGTCCAATTATTTCACGGATTGAGAGAAGTGAACATTTATTGAATTTGTTCTAGTCGTGAAACATCGAGAGGTTATTTTTGCGTTGGATGTTTACGGAAATATACTGCTTTAACCTCTTATATCGTCAGGTAAACTCACGTGATTTAATTATTTCATAAAACTATCACTATCTTTGATTTTATTAATTTGCAAATTGGAAATATAACTGCAACTATTACTTTAGCTCTAATTTCATTTGTATTTTTTTGTATAATATTACGTCATACACCTTAAGGAGGAGCCTGATTTACTGAAATTCCATATAAGTAATATGTTCACTTAAACGAAAACACTGAACATTAATGTAAGTACTCTATAAAATGTTATCTTTTTATCTAAACATTATATTTTTATCAAGGGTATATTGCGAGCGTTGAATGGAGCTATTTGTGGTTAGTAATAGTCATGCAATGACTCGGGGTTGAGTTAAAAACACTAAATGTTTTTAGGATTTGAATAATGAGGTGTCTCTGAACACGAGACACTTCAGGACTAAATCGCGATGGATACACTTTATTAATTAGCTTTCCAAACGTTGTGTAGTATTGAAGAATTACATGTTACGAAATGGAATTTCTGGACCTTACGCAGACATACGATCTAGTTATCTCATTATGCCTTTTAAGAATAATTCAAAGTCTTGTGCTTAGGGATAAAACTAACATATATATATAGATGTATATTATAAAAACATTTTTGAGATATTTGCAATTTTGACTGTTTCACGATTGGTTGTACGATACAATTGGACTTCTCCCTCAACATAACTTAAGGTAATTTATCATTAACTTTTATGTATATCTAAAACTAAGTTTCAGTTTTCTGAATTTTATTATGTCGGGTTTTTTTAGTTTCTTTACTTACTGCCTTTTGGGTAAACTGGATTGATTCAACTCATTTAAAGAAATCCTCTCTTTTTAAGTTTTAGGAAAGTCGTGGTTTATTTTATTTATTTATCAAATATATTGTCAAGTTCTTAATCTGAAATGAAAAATTATTAATTTAACAATGTTTAAAGTTCTAAGCCAATCAGTTTTACGTTTACTACAAACCATTGAGCTTCTGTTGTTAAGCATTAATAACGATATCATAATCATTTTGTTTCATATAACACACCATAACTGTAGAACATGTTGTATTGCTTACTGTCCTACAGTTTTGGTATGTTATGTGATGTCCTATAGTTATGGTGTGTTATGTGTTATCTGTAGGTCATCACGTAATGTACTATAACTGTAGAACATCACATAACACACCATAACTATAGGACATCACATAACATACCAAAACTGTAGGAGTAAGCAATACAACATATCTGTAGGCCATCACGTAATGTACTATAACTGTAGGACATCACGTAATGCACTGTAAGTGTAGGACATCAAGTAAAGCACCATAACTGTAGGATATCACGCAAAAAACGTTAACTGTAAGACATCACGTAACAGACGATATCTATAGGCTATCACATAGCACACCATATCTGTAAGACATCATGTAACATATAATAATTGTAGTTGTTGTTGTCATGATAAGTAACCTATACGGTCACCTAAGTCTAATTACACAGGCCTACGATGGTTTTATTGTCTTGACATTTTTACATGTTATACGGTAATTCCTGTACGCTTAATCTGAAAATGATATCCATTTTTTTCCATCACGTACAGATCTTTCACAAAATCTCATAACGCAATACATAAAAGAATGACCACAACACGTAGTTTTGAGACTAAAAGACGTATATTTCACACAAAAATCAGGAGGAATGAGGATGTATATTCGTTTGCCATCAATGTTCTTCCCTTTTCTTCAGTTTGTTTGTAGTTTTGTTAACAAACATAATAATAAGATATGTTCATTGTGGTAAACGAAATAATAATTTGATCTAAGTAAGAGTTTTTGCTTCTTCCCGATTTGTAAAAAATCATTATGAGATAAAAAAAATTAATATTGTTTTCGAAATCTGCGAAGCTGAGTTATGTAAAATATTTTATTAAAACCAAAATAATTTTATAAAGTTTAAAATTCGCAGGCCTGTGTTATTAATTAACTACTTTTTGGTTATTTCTAGATATCAATTAATAACAAGTTTATGTTGTAATTTTCAGTTGCTAATCCGCTACCGTTTTCAGTTTGTTTGTTGAATTTCGTGCAAATTTACTCGAGGACTATCTACGTTAGCCGTCCCAAATTTTTAAGTGATAGTTACTCTTTACTATCGAATAGTGGAATTGGTTTAACCACCACGCTAGGCCGCCCGTCTTTAGAGAAGACCTGAGAAGGTACCGTGTAGTACACGTAGAATGTGGGACATCACGTAACATACCATTACTGCAACACACTTGCACTGTAGGGTGTCTTGTAACACACCATAACTGTAATACATCACGTGACATACTTTAGCTCTAGGCCATCACGTAACACACCATCAGTGTTGGGCATCACGTAACGTACCACAAACTTAGAACATCTGTATACCTTTTCAGGGAAGGGCATCTTATAACACACAAAAAATTTAAGTGTATCGTGTAACACATCATAACTGCATAATGTCATGCAAAGCGTCAGTACTCTGTTATGTAAAATAATACATTTATGAATATCATATAACATTAGTTTTAGATGTCATCTAGTACAAAATAACCATGATATGTGATACACAGGTGTCCTTTTTTGTCACTAACCTCAATGCACCGATCAAATTCTTTCATTATCCCCCATTATTTCTATAGCTACCCCTAAAGGAAGTCATCCGAGCAGAGCCAAGAACATAAAACCAAATGCCAGATTCGGGCTTAGCGTACCTGAAAACGTAATCTTAGGTTCCTGTAATGCCTGGATGACATTCCGAGTGGGTTTTAGTCCCAAATGGTACCCCTTTGTAGGAGAGCTATATCATATAATAAATATACCTTCAGGCCACTACGAGTCTGGCAAGTTTAATTCTGTTAGCTCCAAAACTGTAGGTGGCGTTAGATAAACAAAGATACAGAAATACATACAATTGCATATAGGAGGGAGGAGGGCACGAACACAAATTCTGATGCCAGTTTTGTGTTCCTCGGCTCTGAAAACCATCTCTTAGATCCCAATAATGCCCCTATATGGCCTTCCGGGGGATTTTTAGCCTCCCTTGTTAGAGGGCCACACTATATAGATAAGAACATTCCTGCCATCTCGAGTCCGCCCGCTAAGTTTGGTCCTGCTGCTAGCTCCAGAACTTGGGAGGATATAGTTTGACATATATGTAAAGCTACAAACTGAATTTATATAGAATTTGACATATCACGGGTCGACATATCACGTATTAAGTATGTTTTGACTCTTAAAATATCAACATTTGTGTTGTTGTGAAAAAGTGAAAAGTTTCGCGTGTTGTTGTGAAAAAAGTGAAAAAGTTTCGCGCCGTCGTCTACATTTTCCAGTTGAATGGTCTGTTTCAACCGAACGAACATTGTTAGATGCTATTCTTCTGATTTCTATATTTTCCCGTTGAATGGTCATCTAACAATGTTCGTTCGGTTGAAACAGTTATTCTCTTCTGATTTTTCTGATAATTAAAAAGTGTTGTTTGGTTTCTTGTTAGTTGTGAGGTGTAATAAATCAATGGTCGAAAAAAGACATTTATCAAGATATGTTTGGTCCACTTGAAATTAATTCTTGACTTCAATAAACGCTAGTGTTCAAGTCAACGTATTAAAATAAACCTAAATGCTTGTTTACTTCTTTTATTACATAGTTTATACTTCTGTTACATATTGTTTTTTTTTTTTAAAGTTTCTTAGCTTAACGATTTTATTATTTGTTACCTAATTTTATTCTATGCTTATTGAACAGACATCTTTTCATTTAGATGTATATTTGTGAAATCTGCGTGCTGGAACTTAATAAACGTATCAAAGAGAATATTTATTGCTTTAATGAACTGAGTCATGAACGATAACAACCAACAAAAGAGGAAATAAACGTGTTCAGCTTAAGGTATAAATTCTGATGTTTCCTGATTTCTTTTTATATTTCTAGTCACTAGGTGTACGTTATTTAGCATGCAAATGGAACCATACGTATATCATTAAAATATAAAATGTATTGAAATAGTTGCAATTTCGAAGATCTCATCTGTTAATGAACGTTTGTTTCCTTTTTTCTGCAGGAAGAGCGTCCAATGATCATGGCTCTTAGACCAATGCTAAGAATTGCGCTTTGGTTGATGCTATTGATGTCATTATGTGAGTAAATATCTTGTTAATTTTATTAAAATATCTAATATACAAAACGTATTGTCATATCTTTGTTTTCATAATATAGCTGTGTATTCTTTCTGTTAGTGATGACGATGTCTAAGCTAGTTTAAATGTTAGTGTTGCTGACTGAATTTATTTTTATACCAGTTAGTTTACAAAACACTGGAACCTGATTGGTCACTAATACGTATGCAACAGTAACTCACATACAGTAGTCCAGCCTACTACACTATAACCGTACATTAATCATAATAGAAATTACCTCAAGTTGGAAGGATGATAAGAGACATATTTGTTTTTAATCCTACAATGTTACTGGTAACCTTATGACAACAATTAAGTTGTAAATTATTCTATTTTAATTCTGTTTTGTTTTTAGGCCTGGTTTGTCAAGGTCCGAGCATTTTAACTAGAATTATTTACATTAAGTTGTAAACTTTAACAATTACAAAGAGTCCTGTTATTGGAAGTTAATACACTGAAGATTTGGCACACTTTAAGCTAGGACTTAGCTAACTTTGTTTTATAAGTGATAGAAACATTTAAACGAAAATCACCTAATTCAGCTTTTCTTTATCTTATAACCTAAGCAGTAATCGTTCGAATCACCGTCCCAGTAAAGATTTAAGACAATGAAACACTTCAGGCTATTTTTTATATAAACATGTTATGACATGTAACTCGAGACAATACATAACGTTATATGTTCGGTTAATTTTAATGACTTAATGGCGTGGTTTTCCACACCTATCTATCACTTGGTAGGTGTGTAGGATCTTGACTGACAGTTGCTAAGATTCTTTTCGTAGTCTTTCTATTTATTGCTCTAAACTATATTTATGTAAACCAGGGGTGATGCATTATCATCTGACATTCACGATATTTTTCAACACCGTGACCCATTTAAACGTATTATTTGAAGAGCTCAGCCAGAAATAACCATACGTTAATGAATATGCGATTTTAAAACTTGTGATGTTAAGAGTTATCTGTATATTATGTGAATTTATTCATCTGTCAGCACGAATGGAAATATGATACTTTTTTAACCAGTGCTCAATGATTAAAATAAATTTATTATTTTTTATTTTTGTGTGAGATGGCAATGTATTCACAACAACATTATATTGTAAATTTTGAGTTGATTTCTAAATTTGTGAGAAATGTGTCTCTGTTCTCAATAACACTATATTTAAAGTTAGGATTTAACTTTCAGAATGTGCGAATTGTATCAGGAGATATTCAAACAATAGACTAGAGTTATAATTTGAGTCCAAGATGTCTGTAAAATGTTTCTGTATTCAAATGAATTCTATTATAGAGTTGTAACTTGCGCAAAATTTTCGTTATTCACAAATTACCTTGTGGTTTGGCACTCGGTTCTAATGAAATGTTTCTGTGTTTGTTATTACAGTGGACGTCACGAATTGACTCTTAGGATTATGTGAAATGTTTTTGTACTCACTGTATAATCAGACTATAAGTTTTAGTTGACTGTCAGATTTATTGTATTTATTACTAGTCTACGATTCTTAGGATTGTATGAAATGTTTTTGTACTCACTGTATAATCAGACTATAAATTTTAGTTGACTGTCAGATTTATTGTATTTATTACTAGTCTACGATTATTAGGATTGTATGAAATGTTTTTGTAGTCACTGTATAATCAGACTATAAGTTTTAGTTGACTGTCAGATTTATTGTATTTATTACTAGTCTACGATTCTTAGGATTATGTGAAATGTTTTTGTAGTCACTGTATAATCAGACTATAAGTTTTAGTTGACTGTCAGATTTATTGTATTTATTACTAGTCTACGATTCTTAGGATTGTATGAAATGTTTTTGTACTCACTGTATAATCAGACTACAAGTTTTAGTTGACTGTCAGATTTATTGTATTTATTACTAGTCTACGATTCTTAGGATTGTATGAAATGTTTTTGTAGTCACTGTATAATCAGACTATAAGTTTTAGTTGACTGTCAGATTTATTGTATTTATTACTAGTCTACGATTCTTAGGATTGTATGAAATGTTTCTCTATTCAAACATGTTCTAGCTTTTAATTATCATTTGACGAGATTTATGTAATATTTATCTCTTTTCCTTCAAGTATACATTTATTTCCATTCCTAAAGGTATTTTAGTTCGAAAAGTATTTAATGGACCACATAATACAAACTCTAATAATCAAAACATGTGAAATTTACTCCAGTTTTAAAAAAATAAATAACTTGATTACTAGAAATGACGTCTATTCAACAATTATATATTTTAAGCAAAATTAATAACCGCTCTTACAGTATAACATTTAAATATTATTGCGTTGTTTTAATACCCCAGCTACCCTAAAGAGGACTATACATTTCCAGCTTAGTTTTTGGTACGAAGATCAATGTTTTTGTTTCTTATATTCGAGCACTTTACCATGGTATCGAAAAAATTGATACGGTAATCTGAGCTAAGCCTCGGGGTTGATATTGAACAACGTTGGAGACATTAAACTTGAGTCCTATTTTGAAGTTTGAAGGCTTGTTACCAATTGTTAACGTTCTTTCGTGTTCGTTTGAGAAGCAATATTCTTGCTTCGATATCCCCTCGCAGTTATGCCTGCGGCAAAGACTTAAATGTCAATATTTCTGTAGGTGTTCTAACAAAACAGCTAATGACTCTCCAGGTTGATACGCGGTCTTTACAAACATACAGTAATTATCAGAAACAGATTGGTATTTTTAGATCCAATAATCAGGCAATAAAACGGGTAAACAGTTATTACGTAATCAGAGAAAATCTAACAAGAACTTCTACTTAAATAAAAAGAGGGTAGAAGTGAGCGTTTCGGGATCCAATAAATCCCCGGAAAAAAAAAGTTTAAACACGACAATAATATTGACATAGATTTTTGCAAATAAAATTAGGTCTGCTAGCGATCTCAAAGGCTTACCAGTTATTTTTTCTTGGTATGTTTTTCGCCCATAGGTGTCGTGGCAAGTAGTTATCCCGCAGAAGAAAAATCGTCTGTGGTAAGTAAACAAGTTTATCAGCTTTTTCTTAAGTTTAATATACATCGTGGTCTACTTAACACGCGTTTCTCCTTAAGTAGACGACAAATGGAAATGTAAGTTTGTAAAGTTAATGCAAAAGTGTAATAAAATAAAATTTTAAAATACAGAGGCTTTTAAAAGTTGTTTTTTTTTCACGATGCGAGGTTGACGGCAACAATTTCTCTCTGTTATCGTTAACCTTTTCTAACCAGTCAAAACCAACAAACTGTTCACCCAAACGATAAAAGTTAATTCCATTTTCTACCTTGTTCCATGAACTAATATTAAAATATACGTTCTGGTGCCTATCTTATGGGAAAAACAACAACAAAAGGACAATATATTTTTGAATGATTTTACCAGTTGCTTCGAGAATTATACCTAGACTCTTCTCGCTTCGTAGTATGTTTGTTTGTTTTGGAATTATGCACAACGCTACACAATGGACTATCTGCCCACCACGGGTATCGAAACCCGGTTTTTAGCGTTGTAAGTCCGCAGACATACCGTTGTGCCACTGGAGGAGCGCTTCATAGTAAAATAATTGGCACTGAACACAACATAGAAATGTTGCTTGTTCCGAAAATAATATCAAAATAAACAATTGAAATCATAACTTCAAATTACCAAACTTAAATACAGAACAAAGCTTGTTTCTTCGGAGAAAACGAATAGTCTTTCGCCAAGGAAATTCATACCTCAATGCAACAACACGTGAGGGACAAAAAATATATATAATAATTATTATTCTGATATAGATGGCGGATTCCTTCACTAGTAGCTTAAAATATTTAAATAAAATGTTTGAGTGATAAACAAAACGTGTGTTGCCATATAAATAACGCTTTGAACTCTTTCGCAGGGTGTAAATAAAATTAAACAAAAACCAAAACTTAATAACGAAAAAACTTTCATATAAGTTTAAATGCGCGAGTCTAGTCATTTTCAAGCTTACCTAATTTATTTATAATTCCTAAGTTTAATTATAGTGTAATGCTCTTAATTATTATTTTTTCATTACTGTTACATGCTTTTGTTTTTGCAGTTGTTTTATACATGAAAGAATAGATCTGTGTACAAATAAACTCGATTTTTATAGTTTAAATCATGTTGAATCTAGTAATAACCTTAATTCTTTTTAAACTAAAAGCTCATTGGTTTGTAAGTCATACTTTTATGTTTTTGTTGTTTTTTCTGTGGTAGAGCTCTGGATTTCGGAGCTGGCGAGCCGGGTTGGTATCCGTGCAATACCACAAAATAATCCTCATACTTGTGGATGTGTTATAAGAGTGACACTAAATCCTTTAGCGTAGATGATGGTTGGTAAGGTGCTGCTACCTCCCCCCTGATCGGAGCTTTAAAGTTAAAGTCGGAGTCAGCAGCTTTTCCATAAATACAAATAGTATTTGAGAAAAGAAGATTTTAATGTTTCTAATTATTAAGAAAATTACCTTGGCTGTTGCACAGTTAATGATGAGAACGTGAGGAGTCTATGAGTATATTTCTTTAACTTTACATGAGATCAGTTTTAGAAGCGTGACTATAAACTATTTTGATTATACGTTGCAGTTTGTACGTAGGTAGGTACTGTAATAACAAATTAGTTGTAAATGGATATTGTTTTAACAAAATACACGTGTATAAAATATGGGCGTAGCAAGTTACCTGTAGAGAAAAATGTCTGTTTCAGATTACATATAGACAAATATAAATGTATCAACTTATGTGTAGACAATTAAGGAAGTACCTGATTACTTGGAGACAGATACATTTGCAGTATGTTGCATGCAAACAGATGCAACTCTAACATGATAGACAAACATAGTTGTAGAAGATAACATGAAGAGAGAGAGAAGTAGTTCTGAGAGATTACATATAGATACCCCCCGATGGCTCAGATATAAATCTGAGGGCTTATAACACTAAATATCAGGTGGGTAGAGCACAGATAACTCACTGTATAGCACTGTGCTTAACAATAAACAAACAACGTGCAACTTTTTATTAAATAATTATTAACGCTACACTAGGTTTACGTTTATTTTCCCTGTTCAACTTTATATTAAATAATTATTAATTATTAAAGCTACACTAGGTTTACGTTTATTTTCTATGTTCAACTTTATATTAAATAATTATTAACGCTTCACTAGGTTTACGTTTATTTTCTATTTTCAACTTTATATTAAATAATTATTAACGCTACACAAGGTTTACGTTTATTTTCTATGTTCAACTTTATATTAAATAATTATTAACGCTACACTAGGTTTACGTTTATTTTCTATGTTCAACTTTATATTAAATAACTCTATACTAGGTTTACGTTTATTTTCCCTGTTGCAATAGTGTCGATTTGATACTACTGTTTGTTTGTAATTAAT